ATTCAGTGCGTGCATGCAGGGTGTAAAAGGTGTGCTTTTTTTTTTAACCTAGGAGACCCTAGTATGTGCTGTAACAGTCAAACTGCTAAAATGAGAGCCTGGAAACCGAGTAGCATATTTTTGCTTTGATTCCTGAATTGGATTTGGAAATCCAGTGTCTTTTGAGATGATGAACCTCACTCTCTCCTTCAAGCTGGTGATTTTAAGCCTTTTGAATGGAGAAGTGTAATTGAAAACACCTGGTAAAGGCTGGCCCTTGCTGTTCAAACCTGCGTGAGAGGCCTCAGGCTGGTAAAGGCTTGTGTGATCACAGCAGCCCTCCGTATTTCCCGGCTGCATATCATAGAAACCTGGCAGGTGCTGAGGTTATGCAGTGGAGCAGGTACTCCATGGTACACATGTCGAGTGATGGGCTGGGTTTAGAGGAGACTACACTCACGCATAGAATCTGAAATTGTTGACTTTTTTAAATAGGTGTATTCTCTGCAAGAAAGATCTTTCCTAGATAAGCCAGAAGAAGGAGTAGGTGTATACATAAGCAGGTGTCATCCTCACATGACAAAGAGGTATTAAAGTCTGCTACAAAACCATGTTGTGTTTTGCAGCATTTTATGGTAATACTTCTTGTAGATGAGAAATCAAAGTATACGTGATCCTGAGGTCTGTAGGCAAAAATGTTCCATGAAAGACCTGAAGGAAATACGCAAATTGTAACAAGTAGACCTCTGCTGCTTGTTACGATTTTTCAAGGAAAGCTCTGTAGTTGTAAACTGTGAGAAGAGGGTAGCAAGATTGGATTAGGTCCCTTACTCTGGATGCCTTCAAATTGTATGCTTTACACATGCCCATGAATATAATGTCACACTGTATTTGTCAGTGTATTTTCACTTTCAGATTTTGTGAGGAGCTCTGCAGACCTCGTTTCAACTATGTGTTATATGTGGAGCATCACTGGGTTATCGTGCCTCTATATCTCCGAGCGGTAACTACTGATTAGGGCCAGTGACAAATGCTATCTTGCTATATTAGGAGAAGAATAGCACATCAGACAGGTGCTGGTGACTGAAGCGCAAGAGTCTCTTCCAATGCTGACTGATGCACTTGGAACCTGTAGGTGCCTTTTATGAGGTCAGTATGTTTGTAACAAGCTGTTAGTTGCTGTCAGGTACAGGCAAGTAAATGGATTTGTTTATTATCATCCTGGAAACAGAAGTCACTTACAAAAAAAAGGTTTTCAAACAGCCTCTGTGAAGAGTCTGTCCTGTTCGTGTCCTGCTGACTGAGTTTGTGATTTCTTGAGAACAAAGGTAGTCAGTAATACAGGCCTAATGCTTGTTGTAGCTCAGGTTCAGTCGGAAGTTAAAACAGGATCTCACTGGCAGGCAGCACCTCTTTATCTGAAAGTCTTTGCACAGCACTTAGGAACGGAGGCTCCTATTGTATACTGCACATACTCCTTCACAGGGCTTAGCTATATCTAGTCTTGTGACGCAATTAGGCCTTTCCTGTCATGGTGCACCATTGAAGGTAGCTGCAGCGAAGGCTCTTCAGATCCAGCTGTATAAAACCCTGCACATGGCGCATTTGTGGGCTCCTCAACCACATCATTCTCAGAATCTCTGCTGAGCTAGAAGCAACTCAAAACAATGCTGGAAATGCAGTTGTCTCCAGTGCCAAGGCAATGATGTGACAGAAAACCCTTTGCAGAAAGGGGGAGAGGGTTTTCCATAGCTGCAGCTGTGTGCTTTAACTAGCGGCTTAGCTGCAACATGCCCTCTATCTTTCAAATATTAATCTTAGGTTTACACCTCTGTTGCTCAACTTCTCCAAAGGGTACATCCAGGGAACAAGTCAGGCATGTGGCATTAGGGAAAAGAAGTTGCTGATGGACATAAGCCATTTGCAGGAATGTTTGTAGCAGATCACTCTAGTGGCATGCCAAAGCAAATGGAAGTGCTTCTTGAAAAATGTGAGGAAGCGAAGACTAACCTGACTTCTTGGGAATATGCAGCAGGTCAAATAACCACTGGTTCTTGTGGCAAGGAGGGTGGCAGTGAGAGATAACCAAGAATGGAAACTCTGAAATTAAGACCAAAGCAGACCTAGAGAAGGAAGAAACTGAGCTAGTGATATAGTTCCCGGGAAAGTGGCAGCAATAAAGCTCTCTGGAGAGTCTTTCAACAAAATGTCTCGGGACTTGTTGTGATTTGGGTGTGATTTGGACAAAAGGAGGTCTTGTACAAACCTGCAGGAGCGTTTTCCAGTTGTACTAGCTAACACTGATGGTGGTGGTAGGTGCACAGAGAGTGCTAGGATTTCAGAGACGTGCAGTGTAAGTCATGGAAGGTTGTACCATTGAGTCATTAATCTGTTACCTAAATGTGTTGCCAGCCAGGCTGTAGAGAGCTGTTGACATTTGTGACTTCTGGGCAGTGTCACTGTTACATGGCAAGCCTGGGCTGAGGGTAGGAAGTGTCATGGAGCTTGTCTGGAAGCGTTTCATGACAGTGCCCATTGAGAAAGTGTGTTCCTGCTGGGTGGTGCGAGAATGGCACTGCAGGGTCCTGAGACAGTGTCCTGCTCGCTGCAGCTCAGCTGTCCGCAACGTGCAAGGACTTAGATCATGCTTAACAGAGGCAAACCTTGGACTGATGTTCCTGGGTAAGGAAGTCTTCCCCTTTCCTTCATGATTGTCCTTTCACTGTAGGGAAGGGGCTTTGCCTTCCTCCGCAGTGTGTGCCAGCTACCACCTGCTGTTCCAGTTTCTTGCCTGTCTCAGTGACTGGGAGCTATGTTCATCTCTAGCCTCTCCTTTCTGCAGCTTTTGTCTGGCTTTGCTATGTTTTCTGCAGAGGCAGGAAATCTTGTGTGGATACAAGATGCACAGTCTGATGAACTGATCTTCACAGCAAACCAAAACCAAATCTTTTGGTATGCATGAGAAACAGGAATAGCATTTTGTTCACTTGTTAGTTGGAAATCCTCTCCGTTGGGAAAGACAAGACAGTTTGTTGCTGTTACAGCATGGTGGCCCCCTGAGGAAGGCAGCTGGGCATATCTTTTAAATTGTAAGACCTTTTCTTCTGACGAGAAAAACAAGCAGGGCTTGCTGAAGTTGTGGAAATTACAGTGCTGAGATGGCTGTTTTCGGTGGGATCCTGTGCCTAAAAGGTCATAGAAGCCCAGGTTAATTCCTGGTTAGTGCAAAAGGTGAGCGAAATATGGGTGGATCAAGCTTAGACTGTGGAAATTAGTTTTACAGCAAGGCTGTGACATTT